ATATGTACTGTTTCAAAAATGATTTACGATTGCATTGTAAAACAATTCATATTTCAGAAAAAAATAGTAGCCTGATTAACATGTTAATATGAAATAAAAAGCACTCGAGAGGCTCAACATGGGAAACAAAATTATTTGTATACAACAGCATTATTGTAAAGATATAGTGCATTGTACTTTAGATTAATCTACTTTTCTGAAGAAGGATTGCAATATTTGCATATTACCATACTTTCTTTACTTGTAATTATACTTATATAAAGTAGTGGAGTGCAGCAGTAAAAAAAGCGTTCAAAGTGGAGCAGCAAAAATAGGTTGGTTTGGGACGAAACGGTACACATGAAAGCAGAAGTTTCTTTCTTTCTCGTCACATGTCGTCAGCGGTGACGCAAGCTGCGACACGTTTTGTACAAGAATTTGCTCGTAATATCACGTGTAAGAAATTGTAGATTATGATAACCACGATTGGCATTGTTCAGTCAAAATCAAAACTGTTTCATTGTTTTTGTGTTTTCCGGTCTTTCTGAGTATGTAACGAAATCAATAACCCCTCTCACATGACCAGAGGGTGCATATAAATTTTAAAGACGAGACGCCCTAATTCTTGATTTACAACCGGGTACCTTTCAGAAAACTTCAGAGAGATATCCCGACTTTGTGTATTATTCAAAACGAAATGACGTGATCCTCTATGGGCGGAGGTGTAGTTATCAAAATTTACATAAGTTGCGCCAAAGATTCATGATTCAAAAATTTAGAAATAACGAAAACAGAACAGATGTAGGTAATTTTCATTTGTAAATAGAGCAATACAACATTGAAAAAATACCTGTAGTCGAGCCGAGATTTTTTATTTTCAAATAGCTTTAATTTAATTTCCATAAAAGAACTTTTTCTTTTGGGATCCTGTGGTTAATCTTCGAGGGCCCAAAGAGATTCTTGTTCTTTGTTTACAACGAAGTCATCCAAGTATTTGTCTCAAACTACAAACCAAATATGTAAGTTTTATTAGTAGAAGAACAATAATGCCTTACCAAACAAAAATTTTAATATTTATTCTTTATATGAAATATATCTCGTTTCAAGATCAATTGATTCATCACACTCTAACATGGAACAATACTCATTTTCACTTGGTTATCAACAGGTTCTGATACTTCGCTAACACCTTTTAAAGTTCCTACTAGCCTTGGAGTAACAAAATCATCGTGCCATCGTTTATACAGTAGACGTATGAGCCTGTGTCATTTTGTATTTTTAACTTCTGGAATATCCAGTGGCGTACCTAAGAGGAACCAACCCATGTTGCTTAAGAAGCGAATGATACACGTGTAAAAAGATAGATTTTTACTAATTGTCTCTATTAACGCAAGTTATTCTTTCGTATATCAATTGTGTACATTATATCGATTGATTAATGATTCCGAGTTCTTCAACGACCATGGTCGTTAGTCCCGTAAGTGTAGTGCGTGCTTATCGTGGGAGGTGACGGTGATCTTTCCCCGCTGGATAGCGGGATCCGGAAACGACCTACCTGTCGGCTTGCGGGGTTGAACCCAACTAGCGGGCACCGCTCCTGCCGAAGAAAGATCTATGCTCCCGACTGTTTACATTCTAAATATGTATACTATTAATCAAGAAATACAACGCGTTGTACTGTATTTTCGTAAATTCTCCACCGTAATTTCTACCATGTTCTCTAGCACATCGCTTGTTTCAACCTTATTGCAGCATTGCTTTCTTGTGACCATCAGATACCTTCATCTGTCACACAAGAACATCAGTTCTTAGTCTATTGTGCGACGAGCACGATTGTAAAAATACATTTTATATTCTGCTTAAATTAAAATTCTTTATAAGAAAACTTGGGCCGTACAATAAACCTGTAGGTCTCCACCTCCCCCGACAGAAATTCTAGTATCTAATGTATCTAAAAATATCCGCTTCAACGAAGTAGGGGTCTCGAGTTCGTTCTGACCGACCGGGCAGAATCAATTTTGGAGAAAATCATCTGAACGGTTTAGGCGCGCCCATGTTGGCAACAGCGATGCGCAGAGAGAGAGAGAGAGCAAGGCCACTCCACCCACTGCTGGCACCCCCTGGCTGCAGTCCCCTCGCCACCGCGCCCGCCCTCCCAAGGCGCGGACAAAGAAGGGGGCGGCCGGGCCACTACCTGCCAGACGCGGGCGTGAGTTGCGGCACGTACGGCCTGGGCCGCCCTGCCGGCGCCTGCGTCGGCGCCCGGCCCGTCCGCGCCTCTCTACGCTCGCCCTAAATTACTCTCTGCGCCCGCCTCAGAGGCGAATCTGTAGTATAAAAGCGCCTCATGCCCCGCCGGCCGCCTGACGCATGGGCGCAGCAGTTATCTCAGGCAAACAAAGCCATGCGAAACATCGGAGCCGACCGCAACGCCTCCACGCCTCTGCCGCTTTGCCCTTCACCGACGCCGGCCCTGCGGACGACGCCGTAGTGCCCCCGCCCACCAATTCCTCTGCAGTCTCCGCGCCACCCGCCTCGGCCATCGGCCCCGAATACAACACGGTGGGAAAGTTGGCGCGACTCTCCTTCCAGTCGATGTGGCTTCGACTCCCACAAGCGAGTCCCTACTTCTGCGCCTGCAGAGGTGTGGGAGATCACATG